GGAAATATTAGTCACACAGTGTGACGCTCAGTGACGTCATTTGTGGATACTTCAATTGCGTTGCATTGCGCAGTTTGTTCTTTTTCGTCTGAAAAATGCAGGTGACAACATTTTTGTTTAGATTGTGCGCACACATTTGCTCCAATCTACACTAATGCAGCAAAATTCGTTTGAAACAGTTGCATTTTTTGATAATTGTCTCCTATTTTTTGCAAGGACATGTAAGCACACTGAACCACTACTCGGCTTGTATTTTTTTTTTCTGTTCGAACACACATAAAGTAGTGACGTTTAACGCGAATAATATGACGTTACTCTCGACGTTTATCGTACAATAGCAATTATATGCGCCATACCGAGAACTACATTTGTATTGAAAATGCACATTGAACTTTCCAAATTGTTACATTTAATTCAAACGGACTAGATATTGGGTTTCAGTGGTGCGATACGGGTTTTGCGAGGACGCGGATACCACGGATTCCATCATATTAAAGCGGTGGGGGTCAACCGTTGTTTGCAAACACGCGTCTACCCATGAGTCTTTTCGCTAGGGCTCAATTTCGCGTGCGTAATTGACGATCTTTACTCTAGCGCTCCGCTATGCTGAATATCATGTCTTTTTCATTGCAGTTTATCGACGGTTGGATGATACAAGGAGAAATTGTACCTAGCCCAGAGGACCACGCCACTCCATTTGAAGACCGTTTTACGGAATTTTGTGGCAGACCCGAGGAGCGATACATAGCTTCACAAAACGTGGCTCAGCTCTATTACCGAATCACAAAACCAGGCAGCGGGTTTAAAGTGTCCTACCGTGCAAGGAAGGTCAAACATCGTAAGTTTGTTTTTGTTTTAAAAAAAAATTTAAAAATGAAAAATGAGTTAAATAAATTAATTGTTTGTATTTGAAGGTAGTTTAACACGAGGTGAGTTGTGAGTCAAAGTTGATCATGCAAGTCACACGTAGCCTGAAAATTGAACGTTATGGCTGTTATTCAGACAGTCGCCACAGTCAGTCGCCTAGCAATGTACGCGTTATTGTCATTGTGTTGCTTGGTGCGCTGCCTTATGAATTTCTCGTGTTAAACGGCATGCGCAGCGCGCACTCGCGAATTCATTGAGCTGAGTCATATTTGAGTAATCCATAAAAAACTGTTTTACCAAAATTCACAACTAAAAGAAAATCAATGTTGCCCCAATCGTTGCTTAAAGGGCGGCAGTCGCCCACCACGTCCAGTTCGATATGGAACTCATAGCGACGTATACAACGCATGTAAAATACATTGTTTATTTACATGAAATTCGAACACGCGCTGCGCGACGACCACCGCGCTTTAAACGTTTGAGACTGACATTGCTGCCGATTCAGAATTAAACGGATTACTCTCTCCCTCCAACCAACCAACAAACAAACTTCTGCACATACGAACAACATTCGGGCGAAGTATACATACAAGCGAAGATGCAATCGCTTGTTGAAAAATGGATGATTCATGATGATCGGCTTCAAACTGGCCGCCTTGAGCGGTGCTTGCTAACTTTGACGTCGCAGTGTATATTCGATATTTGAAACGTGTAACACGGTATGTTGTGGTAGATTTCTCACTAAATTATTCACTAAACACTTTTCAAAAATTTATTTTGGACGATATTATTTTTTTATAATAGAAATGTCAGTATCATAGAACGTCAAAAATTACGTAAAATTCAAAGAATACGCACACACAATGACATTGTGGAGGTGAATTTCAATTCTTCGCGTCGTCAAAGAATCTTTTTTTTACTGAATTGTTCTTACTTTCTTCAGCCTGTAATGCCGTGGCTATGAACTCAAATGGAGAACATTCTTTGAGCAATTATGGTAACCAGGGTAACTGCACTTTCTCTATCTTGTACTCGTCCCGAATTTTCATCCACGACGTCGACATTGGAGTCCACGATGGCAATGACTACAATACGGTGAGTAACATTATTTGAAATTTAGTGAACTTCCGGTTTTCACCTTATTCCAGGGAATACAAATTGGTAGATTCGGCCAATTGTGTTCTTTTATTATAACTTTGCACGAAAGTGTTTTGACTAGCCTGTTCGCAATGCGTTACGGAGAAACTGAAATGATGACGCGCCTGGGGTTACATTTTAGGTTGTGCATGCTACGTGTACTGTATATAAACATTACCAAGGCCGCTTGGAAATGAATCGTGTTGGTTGACCCAAAAAATACCATACCCCCAGCTATGTACAGTCTAGTTTCATAAATATATGCCATATTGCTGAACATATCACCACACATTCAATTTAGTACCACATGGGTAATGTTGGCTGAAATGGCGGTGGCCGTCACGCAGCGCCTGTTCGAGTTTCATGTAAACAATGTACTTTACACGCGTTGCGTACGTCGCTTTACGTCCCATATCGAACAGGACGCGGCAAGACGACCACCGCCCTTTAATATCACGTGGATTAACAAATTGGTGCAAGACACAGTACTCAGGATTTCATGTTTTCTTCCGCTGGTGATAGCTTGATGAGCATCGTCTCGTGTGGAATACCATAGTGTGGTAAACGTCACGATATTCACGTTAAACGTCATCGCTTGATGCGTGCTGCAGCAGAACGCAGAGAAATGCACTATGGTGCTACCCTTTTGTATTTTAGTTTTTTTTTCACAACGGTATTATAATATCAGTTAGGAACAATTACTCACATATGTAATGACTTCATTCATAATTAGTTCATTAACATGCAAATACTGAAAACTGCAAATGTACACCCACTGACGCGCTTTGATATGTCTAATTAGCATATTCATTCAGAAGCGTAGTTCCGGGTGATCACAAATAGACCATTTTCCGTTCATTGCGAGAATCACGCGTTATGCGTGAAATCGAACGTAAAAACAGGACAAACAAAGGTCATAGCGTCGTAGTGGCGTCAAACATCGCGTGGGATTCGACAAACGCGAAGTATTTGGAGGACATTTCCATGCTTAATAATGTGCTGTCCACATTTGATGATAGGCAATTTTGATTAAGTAAGGGTAGTCGGAAGCAATATTCCTCTGTCGAAGATCGGCCGGTCGATGTGAGTTACGAAATAAAGAAATTCTAGTTCAAAATCAAATCGTTCGATTTTTGCGGCAGGCGTTCGACGCGCGTTTTTCATACATCTCGCGAGATCTCGCAATTGTACGGAAAATCCCCTATTATCTGTCTTGTTGACAATTTTTGGCCAAACGCGCCCTCGTCGTAAATTTGTTGGGGGTCCCGCTGTCCACTGGCTGTAGAGAATTTATGTGAGTACCCAAACCCGGGGTGTTCTCCCACCAAATCTTGCGAAAATGTTTGCTCGAAGGAAATTGAAATTGTTCTTACTCTCAGGCAGAGAGGCCTTATTGCCACCCACGCCGATAAACAACGATACACAAAGTTACACGTAGTATGATAGCAATTATGGGTCACGGTGTTGATCTCACCTCTAAATATGAACCCACCAACCAGACGGTCATAAATAGCAAATTAGCGAAGACGTACACGTCCTATATATCTGAAGTGCGCGTCGACTACTTTCCCGGAAGTCAAAGTTATGGTGTTTCGCATGCGCGCGCATACCGGATATGGGGTGCAACGTAAACTTCCATCTGTGATACTAGAGTATTGTGCTTGTGGATGACCAATCGACGTGACAAAGCAGTGGCGGTGGCACGGGAAAGTGGTACATTTGTGGCCTGTACGCGTAAACAGGAATATGCCTACGTTTTTTGGTGATATTGGCGCTGTGAAGGACGCGCTTTATACCTTTTTACGCCACAAAAACGATTGTCGCGAAATGGCGCGACTAAGTTGTGTCTCTCGCAGCACATTTCTGTATGCCCTCCCTCAATGAATACGCATTGTTTTGTTTGTTTTGTTTTTATTGTACTATTTGTTACTTGGCATACCCTAAATTGCGATCGCCTTACGTCGTATGTATTCTCACTTCCAGTGCATCCAGGGCAACGACTATGCACAGTTTTTGAAGACAAGTGTTCTGACCTCGGCAGACACTCAAATTGTTACGGAGATGTGTGGCAAGTCTGGATTCAAGGTCAATGCCAAGGGTGACATGGAAATGAAATGGAGTACTCGGTGTGACGCTGGCCAAGCTGTACTGCCGTCTACCTATGAGTCCAATGGTGGACCCCCCGCAGACATAAAACGATCCTTGGACGAGGCGTTTTTGGAAGCCATTTCCGAACCCTCCACTGCGCAGTGTAGCCATGGTGAGTATGTTGTTTGTTTGTTTGTTTTCAATCTATCTGACTAGACTCTTTTCGGATATGTTACGATTAAGTCAAAAACACATTCGACATTTTATTAAGCCTCGTTAGCGGCCAATGACTAAAATCGTCATCGATTTGATTTTGAGACACCAGAAAATCCGGAAAAAAGTTGCATTTGCTTTGCGAAGTTTGATCTCTGAGAGAGCTGGTGGTTCGGGTGATACACTAGTTGTACATCGATGGCCAGTTTGCAAGTGCATTGATTAGGTTGTTTGCGTTTTCCTCAAGATATATTTCTATAGATCTTAGACCAAAATGACCGTCGAGATCTCGCCCAAAACGAGGGAGTCACCCGACTTATTTTTACCCGTTGAATAGTTTGTTTCTTTCCCGTCATCACGTCCACCTTTACAAATATAACGGTTTCATCGGTCAGATGCATTGTGGGTTCAATTGCTGTCGGGAATAGAACACAATACGAGGGGGGACGCGACTTTCTCATTCTAAACGAGATCTCGGCGTCCATTTACGTATAATGTCCCTTTTAGGCTCTTTCTACGTTGTACTACTTCTCTTGTAATGACAGTGATAGTTGTTTTTGTCAGTGAGTAGGGATATAATACGACGTGTTTACTTCTATGTATCAATACTTGACATGTAAATTAACTTACGGTGAAAAAAAAAAAAAAAGAGTCCCGCGCGTAGTGATACAATAATAACATATTGTGTGCACCGATTCAGGAATATTTTATTTAGCGAGATGTGTTTAAGCTGTTAGTTATCTGTTTGGACATTTCCCAATAAAAAAATTGGCATGAATGTTTATGTATTTTTCGAAAATGTCTTGAAGTCATGGGCATTGTCTCTGATGAATAAAAACGGGCGTTTATATTTTGAAAAATCATTTTAGCGCCCAACGGACCAATAACGTCTACTGTTAGAACAGAAGAGTTATTCCAACAGGAGAAAAAACTTATTCTATCCAATTTCCATCACAACACGCGGGTTTCGATAGATTGTTAAAATGCCTTCACAGTCCCCGAATTTATGGATGTTGTTATGCCAAGCGTTGTGACTTTTTCAAACTATGCCAATTATTGTCTTATATTTAAAATCAGCGTGGGTGTGCACGTGTCATTATCGAGGGCACCGATTTTCTAAAATATGAAAGTAGGCGTTATCTCGTCAGCTGAATAATTAGGTGAAAAACATGGATAAACGAAGAGCGCAACACCGGCAGCCGTGCTGTCATTTTTAAAAATGTATTTCTGAACATTTTTTCTAATAGATCTTACACGCATGAATGGATGTCGAAATCTCGTTAGGAGAGAGAAAGTCGCGAGACTTGTATTTGCGCCCGGTCAGAGATCAGTGGACGCGATGATATGAGAGAATAAGACT